GGTGTGAGACCATTGAACCACACAGCAATGGAGCTGGACGCGGTGCAGTGGGTATGGTGTGAGACCATTGAACCACACAGCAATGGAGCTGGACGTGGTGCAGTGGGTATGGTGTAAGACCCCTGTATCACACAGAAATGGAGCTGGACATGGTGCAGTGGCAATCTTAAAATGCAGTTGAACTTAAGTTCAGGTTAACTTTGTATGCTTTTCTAAAATTATTAATTACACCAAAATGCAAACATGCCTAGAATGAAGTATCGTAGCAAAAAATTAATTGTCTAATAAAACCTTCAAAATATAAATATCTCACATGGAAATAAAAATAATAATGGTCAGATCTTGAAGATACAGAAAAGAATCATAATAGCTACGAAAATGTGGACAATGAAAATGACAACCCATAATGCAGAATATCATCAGAAGCAGGACCCTCCCAGACAGGAAGTAACAAAGTAGAAGGAAAATAAAAAAGCAGAAGGAAGATCAAAGTACCAGAAAGGAAAACCTCAGTGTGTGGCCAAGAACACCAGGTGAGCACTGGTCCACCGACGAGTTTGCTGACCCCAGTAAATCCTGTAGCCTTGCACTGTAGCCCTATATGATGAGCAGTAACTTCACCCAACCCTGCTAATGAAAAGATTTATTTTTTAAAAAATTGTGATCTCACTATTTACAGAGAATCCAACAAAACATATGATGGATAAGAGAGATGCTTCTCGGAAAAATATTTTGAAATAATGTTTTTAAATATTTGTTGTGAATAAACAAAAATGTGATATATACATACAATGGAAAATTATGCAGCTGAAATTTAGAGAGATGAAGTTTTGGTGCATGCCACAACATGGATGAACTCTGGCACATTATAGTGAGTGAAATAAATCACAAAAAGACAATTACTGTATGATCTCTCTTATATAAAATAAGCAAATACAGCAAAACCAAAGATTATCAGTCATTACCAGGTAGGGGAGAGAGGGGGAGTTTTTGTTAGGTGGGCAGAGTTTAGGTTAATGGTAATAGAATATTTTAGGAAAGGATAGCGATGACGGTGGTACAATACAAAAAATACAATCAGAATCACTGAATTGTAAATGTGGAAGCTGTACAAATGTTTTGGTGTGTATATTTTCACCACAACAAAAATACTAACGTTATTAGAAAAAAATGTATCTTCCATCTGTCAGTTTGTCATACTGCAGTGGCTTTCATGTTGCTGTGAGGCTAGAAGGTATGCCACCAGCTGCTCAAGTACCAGAAGGGTCACCTACAGTAGACAGGTTTCAATGGTGCTTTCAGACTAAAACCAGAAAGAAAGGCTTGGGCATCTAGTTCTGAAAACCAGCCACTGGAAAGCCCATGGATTATAACAGAGTGTTGTCTAATACAGTGCTGGAAGATGAATGTTAGAAGACCCTCAAAACACAAAGTGGCCACAACAGTGAATTCAAACACACCACCAACTGTGAAGATGACACAGGGCAATGGTTTTCACTGTTGTGTGGGGCTGCCATGAGTGAGAGCCACCTCAATGGCAACAGCAGCAGAATGCACGATTACTGATACCTTTTGTTTGGGTATCTGCCTATTCTGGATACTTCATACAAGAAGGATTATCCAACATCTATCCTTTTGGGTCTGGCTTACTTCACTCAGCATTATGAAAGAATTTTTTTCTAAATGTTGAAACTCCTGCAGATTCTTGGTTAGCCTATTTTTTGCCTATATTGTTTTGCTTGCATACAGTTTCCAACAAGATGGACACTACTTACAACAGACTGATTTTCAAATCAGTGGCCATATTGAGAACCCTCCAAAGTCATGAAGGCTCCACAGGGCACACAAAGAGTGTTTCTACTTAGGTTGCACACAAATCACATGAAAATACATCAGGTGCCATCTCAGAGAACAGCCAAAATGGGAAGAGTGTGCGCAAGCCAGTAATGAATAGGAGTGAATCAATAAGCATGAAACATGATTTCCATTTCATCCTAATTTGACTTGAAATTAATAATGCTATGAAGCTCATCATATGCCACCCTGAGGCCACCACAGACGAGAGGTGACCAGTTCTTGTACCCTGAAACTCAAAATAACTAAAATCCTACAGCTCATAACGAGAAATTCAACAGACATTTTGCCAAATCTCATACCAATCCTAAGAATGTATGTGGCATTTCCAGTAAGAATGTAAGCCTGACCAGTTCTTTTCTAAATTGTCAGTAATAATTTTTGTTTTTTGATCAACACTACTAAAGGAAAGACGGAATTATCTTTCTATTCTCCCTATAACAAATACTACTAAATCACTGCCATTGGAAGAGGCAATTAAATTCTGCCACCAAACATTTAGGAAAAGATATATTAAAGTGTCTTAGGGAGTTAATTAATAAAAATGTATTATTAATTTCCAAAAAAAGAATGTATTTAATAAAGCAGAAAAAATCATTAATTTTATTAAATCATGATCTTTGCATATGTGTCTTTTTAATATTGCGTGAAGAAATGGAAGTATGCATTGGGTACTGCTGCAGGCTACTGAAACATGATGGTTGTCTTGAGGAAGAGCCCCTGCATGACAGAGTTGAGTCGCAAGCTGAACTAGCTACCTTTCTTAACGGAACACCATCTTTACATAAAAGAACAGACGATAAACTGTGTTCTTCAGACTTGAGTATTCAGTAGGCATTTCTCAATGCTGACAGAAGTTAGCCTGTCACTTTAAGAAAAACGACTGACAATATTTGTTACTAAATTTGAGCTTTCAGGTGAAAATTAGAATTTTGGAATACTTGTATTCACCATTGTAAACTTGACAGCTTCTCAATACTTAAAAACTTTTTGATGACAATGGTAGTGATATAAACAAATGTGAATTTTTGACATCATGTAACAGCATGTGTCAATATTTAGAAAATCTCCATAACTCAGTGAATCAGTATTTTCCAAATAACCAATCCAGGATGTTATAAGATGATGCATGGGTAAGAGACTCATTCAAAGTACAGGTGAAACAATCCTGCATCTTCAGCAATTACAAACATGAATTTACAAGTAGATACATAGGTAGACAGGCAAGATGATCAGGTATGGGTAGGTGTGGACAAGACCATACACAGTTTTGGCAGACGCTATTTCTACATAAGTATACATATGAGCTGTAAAAATGTCCATGTATACAGTAAAAGCATACAGGGGGCAAAGATATGAAAACTTCTTTGATATAACCAAACACCTTGTGGGCGTGGATCACTGGGCCTACAAGCTCAGGATCATAGCTTCAGGGGACTTCAAGGTCAATTGGCATAACACAGTCCACAAAGACATTGTTGTGCATCCTACTTTGGTGAGCAGCGACTGAGGTCTTAAAGCCTTGTGAGCAGCCACCTCAGGTACAAATATTGGTCTTTCTTCATTCAAAGCAAAGAAGAGTGAAGAAAATCAAAGATGCATGGGAACAATTAGTCCAAAGGACTAGTGCACCTCACGAACCTCAGCCTCCACAACCCTGAGACCAGAAGAACTAGATGGTACCTGGCTACTACTGCCAACCACCCTGAAAGGGATCACAATAGGAGATCCTGGATAGAAGTAGAGAGAAATGTGGAACAAAACTCCAAATAATAAAAAAGACCATGCTTACCAGTCTGATAGAGACTGGTGAAATCCCTGAAACTATGGTCCTTCAGGCTCAAAACTGATCTCACTCCTCACTCAACTTTCAGACAAATAATAGACAGGCCTATGAGGTGAAAAATAACACCAGGGAGGTATGCACTTCTTAGAACTATCAATTATAAGAGATCAAAAGGGTAGCATTTGCCTAGGGTATAGCTCAGAAGGCAGGAATGGATAGGAAAGAAGGATAAAGGGGAATGGGGACCACAGGGAGGAAGTGGGAAGAGTGCTGTTACATTGTGAGGCTTATAATCAATGTCACAAAACAAAATGTATATGAACTATTGAATGGCAAACCAATTTACTCTGTAAACTTTCAGCTAAATCACAATAAAAAGTCAATTAAAAAGCAAATGGTATTATTACCAAGAGATTTTAAGGTAACAGAGATCACTGAGGTAGTTTAAGATTCCACACTGAAAATAATCTTTAAGAAACTGTCACCTATCAAAGAATACCCACAATTATCTGAAGAGTCTATCAAAATATTCTTCCAATTTCCAGCCACATATCTAATGAGGCCAGATATTCTTCATCAATTTCAACTAAAACCATATATTACCATATACTAAATGCAGAAGTAGATCTGAGAATCCAGCTATTTTCTATTAAATCAGGCACTAAAGAGATTATAAAAATGTAAAACAATGCCACATTTCTAATTTTGTTTTAGAATTTATAATTGATTATTACAAAAAATATCTGTTAACATGTAGTTAATTAGTTACTTTTACACGGATCATTAAAAACATGTTTTTAACACTTTACAATTTTAATTTCAAATATAGTAAATATTGATAGATGTAACCCATATAAAGGAAAAGTTTTTGATTTCTCCAGTTATTTTTAAAAGTGGGAGGTGGTCAAAATATAAAAGTTTAAACTCAAGTTTATTTTCAGTTGAGAAAATTAGACATTTTTGCAGTTCAGACTGTCCTATGAGAGAAGAATAAACTGAATGTAGAAGATACATCAAAAAATTTATCTTTAATGAAGAGTAGGATTTTTTGTTTTATATTACTAAGGAAACTTCTTGGTAATCCAAGTCAATACCTAACAAGTCTAGCACACAGTTTTTGTTTCTGACATCTAATTACTTCTTTTTGACCTTACCTCTTCCTTCTCTAATTTCGCATGTTTGCGCTCCGCAGCTACGTTCTTTTTCTTATTAAAATTAAACTGTGCGTCCTCATCAGCTTTCTGTAACTTTTTTTTCTTTTCCTCATATTCTCCTATCAGCTCTCCTGAAGTGCTGATTTCTTCAAAAAACTGGGTTCTTTCTTTGGGTTTTTTCATTGAAATTGACTCTACGGTTCCCTTTAAAAACAATAAGGTAGTCCAACATTTAAAATACAGTGATGTAGTTCTTTTTCAAAGCTATGGATCAGATAAACTACGATAGCTACTTACTTGAAAAACTAGACAGTTTCTTGCTTTGACTATTATACCTATCTTCTCCAACTCTGCTAAGTAGACAGCACGGGTCACAGGGTTATCACCAAAATGAAATTCTGAGCATCCCCCTAAAATAAAAGAAGGAAGGTTATTTTAGGAAATATAAGTATTAGACATATTTTAACAATTACTGAAGGTTTAAGATAATTTTTTTCTTATCGAAATTGTCAGTTATGCAATCATACATGTTAATAAATGCATTTAATCAGTAAGCAAACATTAAGTGTCTACTATATGCCAGGACTATTCTATGGCAGTAAACAAACAAACAAAAAGTCTCTGATCTCACATCCCAGTGGGGAAGACAGACAATCAAGATACACAAGTAAATAGCATATGAGAAAGTAGTAAGTGCTAAGAAGTAAAACAGAGCTGTGAAGAAGTAATAGAAGTTTCTGTGTACAGGAGCAGCTGTTGCAATTTTAAATAGGCTGGCAAAGGAACCTCTACTGAGATGGAGACTTCTGAGTGAAGACCTAAAGAAAGTGAGGGAGCTAGCCAATTAGATATTTGGGTGATTAAGTTGTAAAACTCTTAAATTATGTATTAAGTTATTAAGTATAAATAATATTCAAACTCTTCTGAAATTATCTGTGGCTGAATCAGAGGCAGATTAATACGATAATATTTATACATTAGGTATGTTCTAAGTGGACCAGATGAAAACAACAACAAACAAAACAAAAAAACATTGAGTCTACTTACAGAGGTTCTATAAACTCCTGGCACAGATTAAAAATAAACAAACATAACAAGTCTCAATTTTGTATATTAAGGAAACACAGGGATTTCATAAATAATTTCACACAATATAAATTCAAATGTTTCACTCAAGCTGCTTTTTGATGGTGGGAAAACTGTCTAAACAAGCCAAAAACATGTGTAGCACATCACTAAGAAAGTCACATAAGCATAACATAAGTAATCTCAGGAAGAACTTTTATGACTTCTTTGCCTTCCAGTAGGTTCCCTCTTTCACTTTAATCAAATATACAGGTATGAAAATGCTATTTAAGAATAGAGAGATTTATATAAATATGTCTGCTTAAGGAGGAGTTTCAGTGAAGAATCTTTGTCACACAGATTCTGTTACTTGCTTCTGAGATTTGCTATACAATGGGGAAAAAATTCTCTAGTTCACTATGCCACAGAATAATAATCATAACCTTCAAAAAAGAAAAATCAAGTAGCCTCACTCGACTCTTAAAATCAAATGACTTAAACAAAAACCTATAAAAAAAATAACCTCGAATGATTCTTGCAAATGTTTTCTCTTCTCCACTGTCCTCCACATACACAATTTTTACACTTGCAGAAGAAGAAACAGGTTTTCCAATATGTGCTCCATGAATAAGTTCTTGAATATTTTTCACTCTTAAATTAGCTATTTTTTCTCCCATTACAAAACTAAGTGCATCCATTACATTAGATTTTCCTGGGGAAGAAAAAATAGGTAGAAAAAAGGTTATTAGTTCATAATGATAATCTTTACCCCAAGCCCAAGAAACCAGGCCACGAACAGATGTGAAATACAGTCACTATCCATGTCTAAACAGTCCTGTCTTGTCAATATTCAAAATGCATGTGACTGAAAAGTTATATGCAGGTCACTAAGTGGTCTAAATTTAAGGATTTAAATTCCAGATCTCGTTGTTAGGTATTATACCATGGCAAAAATCACTTAACTTCTCTGAATTTCTGTTATGGCTATTTTATAAATATGGGAATTACCACCTGAAGT